TGTGAGTCACTAAACTAATATTTAGTTGTATAACCACTGTTTTTGAGAACTGCTTGACATCTGTGCTATATGGAGTCGACCAACTTCTACCACCTATAAACAGGTATTCCAGCCCAGGTGATTTGACAACCTTACACAGTTCCTCTGCATTTCTTGGTTTTGCCTCAGACACAGCATTTTTTGATGTCACCCCACAAGTTTTCTATTGGATTATGGTCTGGCCACTCCATAACCTTAATTTTGTTGGTCTGGAACCAAGATGCTGCTCGCTTTCTGGTGTGTTTGGGGTTGTTGTCTTGTTGAAACACCCATTTCAAGGGCATTTCCTCTTCAGCATAAGGCAGCACGACCTCTTCAAGTATTCTGATATAAGCAAATTGATGCATGATCCCTGGTATGTGATAAATAGGCCCGACACCATCGTAAGAGAAACAGTCCCATATCATGATGCTTTAAGGTCTTCACTGTGTACTGTGGCTTGAATTCAGTGTTTGGGGGTCGTCTGACAAACTGTCTGTGGCCCTTGGACCCAAAAAAGAACAATCTTACTTTCATTAGTCCACAAAATGTTTCTCCATTTCTCTTTAGGCTAGTCGATATTTTCTTTGGCAAATTGTATCCTCTTCAGCACGTCTTTTTTTAAACAGTGGGACTTTGCGGGGGCTTCTTGCCGATAGATTCGCCGCACACAAGCGTCTTCTAATTGTGACAGTACTCACAGGTAACTTCAGACCATCTTTGATCTCCCTGGAGCTGACCACTGGCTGAGTCTTTGCCATTCTGGCTATTGTTCGATCCATTCGAATGGCAGTCTTCCGTTTTCGTCCACGTCTCTCTGGTTTTGCTTTCCATTTCAAAGCTTAGGAGATCATTTTAGCTGAGCATCCTATCATTTTCTGCATGTCTTTATATGTTTTCCCCTCTCCAATCAACATTTTCATTAAAACACGCTGTTCTTATGAACAGTGTCTGGAACGACCCATCTTCCTGCTGGCTTCATCCTTAAATAGGGGCACCTGAATGACACCTGTTTCTTCACATAATGAATGACCTCACTGATTGAACTCCACATTGCTATTTTTTTGAACGCACCCCTTTCAATTAATTATTCAATTACACAGACTCAGGAGCATGCATATCATGAATATTGGGTCTGTTGGTTTCTCTGTCTCTACTACACCTACTGGTAAATTATTTGCCATGTGATAATATAATTTCTACCAAAAATAGTGGCTGATCTGGTTAGTCATGTTGAACTGCTACTATTTTGAACACAACTGTACATGAGAAAACATGACGTGCCAAAGCTGCCGCCGCCACTTCCTTCACACTGTCACAATACTTGGAGAGCGACTTCACTGTCCAATCACATTACTGCACTGTTATCACATCTAATTTAATAGCACTCAGAATGACATTCTACACATTTGTCAGCTTTGAGAAGAATGGCAGAGAACAAACACTGAGTGCTGATATTACTGACATCTTCAACACATTTTTATCAGTACTGTGCAGAGGTACAGCCCTGTACGGCCTCTGAGTTTTGGAAGCCTTGCCTTGTGTGAACTATAGCCCCTGTTCATGGGTCGCACGCCCAGCCAGGTGAGCTATAGGGGCGCCCTGTTGTATCTTTTCTAACACTTTGCACATTTGTCGCAACACAAATTTCCAGTTCTTCTGTATCTTTGTCAGTAACAACTGGGAAATCTCAGAAAAGGAAAACCCACTTTCAATATCCTTACAACTTGTGGTTGTGATAAACCCCAGGACTCGTAGTTTATGTTCTTGAACACCAGCTCCTGCAGGATCCCAATAACGTCCTCTACTCCTCAGATCCCAGTCTGGGGAGCAGTGGACTTCAGCCTCCTGCAGATGCCCCATCTGCAAGATAATCCTAACGAGCTCAAACTGTAGAAGTCCCACCCTAGCATCAGTTCTTCTGCTAATTATTTCCTCGATTTTTTTCTTTGTCTCTGAAACTTCAGAATACAGTAGATGATGCCT